CCTTCCCTCAGATCAAAGTCACCCTGGGATTACTGTGGGGTCAAGCTGAGTCTCCTCCTGTTTGTTTTGAGATGTGCTTTAATACACTCACACTAAAGAGGGCTTCAAAAATTCACATTGTGTCAAATAAATCAATACATCCAGTTAACTGTGTAAGTTGTGCAGTGCAGTAGTTGAGTGACAGTGCCCCCCCCCCCCCCTCATTTTAGGCCTTTCTCCAGTAAAGGCAATAGAACATGATTTGTGAGGTTGGCTGATGATCCATACAGACAGCTCCACTAGTTGAAATGGTTTGGCTGACTGGTCCCAGTTGGTCATTAGTGTTATCTCCACTATGCTGCCAGACCGCGTCTTCAGCTAAACAGGGAGAAGAAATTGGGTTGGACATTCACAGCCTTGCAAGCCTATAGCACCAAACCCTTCCTTGTCAATCAATTTTTTGTCTTCAAGTTACTTCAAGTTTCTTACTATATCTTAGTCATTGATTTTTCTTAACCTGACATTTGACTAAGATTATAGCCCTGGAGACAGGGTTGTAGTTAATAATTACTCACCAACAATTACTTAATAGTTTTGTTTTCTCTGTCCAATATCAGTTAATCTGTTGATCTCAATTTCCTATCCTCATAAAGTGCAAGTTTTCAGATGTTGAAATTTAGCAAAACAACTGACATGACAACAGGGTGAAAAGAGTTTTGCCCATAAAGATTGCATATTGTAACCAGAATAAGTAGGAATTTGTATGTTTGTGTGATTGACTAAATGAAAAAATTGTAAAGTGCATTTTAATATTTTAAATGAGGACACACTAAATGTAACAAACTGTTTAATTTGAGGCCTGCTACTTTTTGTTACCATAAAAAGTACTGTGAAAAAATGTCGGGCTCAATATCAGTCATCAGCAAGCTTTCTTTATCTTTCTTTTCTATTTAGGCAGCAACTAAATTGGAATCAACTACCTGAATCTGCAGCTCCTCATTTCCTTCACAAAGCCTTACCCTTACCCACTTGTACTTTGTTCTTGACGGGCCAGCACTTTGCAACTTTTCTCATTAAAACATTGCCTCGAAGATCCTATGTAAAATGGCTGCTTATTGTTTGCCAAGTCATTTGGTTAAAAAAAAACAATTCCAGGAAAATATATTGTCATTTTTATTAAATTAAAATTTTCACACCATAGAATGACAAAAATATGAAAGAGAAGAGAGCATAGTGCATACTGTGGTTATGAGCAAGACTCAGGGCAATAGCCGATTGATGTGGGTTGCTTTCCAGCCCACTAACTATCAGAGCTTGCTTCACAAGATCATTTTGAAATCATGGCTTTAGTTTTGAAAGATGTTGAGTTGCATGTACATTACAAGAAACATAATACAATGTAATGCAATGCAACAGCTTTCAAATAATTCCTTCCCCAACTATGGTGATTTTCTGTAAGTACTGCATGGCTCTATATGCCTTAGTGTTGAACTATGAATGCTACTATGCATTGGTTCCCCTTGTTGGACCTCTTTTTTTTTGGATCGTTTCATTTAACCATTTTTTAAATCACATTTCCGGGCAGAAATTGAAGTAAGAGACATCACAATAAACATCATACATTTACAACAGGCTGAGTAGACGATATGTATAATCTGTGGCTAAGTAGAGTTTTAGCATAAAGGAATTCAAATAGGCATCTCTTTCCAGTAACCTTTCATTCCATCATCCTCTCAATCAGACACCCAGATATTGTGAAATACAAGTCCATCTTTGTCCGAAAGTGTCCATAGCTAGCTGCTTGCAGTCATTCGCTTCATCTTTGGACCTCCCTTATTCAAGCCTACCAAAATAACCTACCTAACAAGCTCATAAACAGGAGAAAATTGGGGTTAAACAAAAAGGCAGCTGTCCCTTACTAAGGAAGTCTGAGGATATTTACAGTATAACAAGGGCACAGAAAGGCATTCGAGCCTACATGATGACACGGGGTGTAAGGCTGTCAAGTAGCCAAGAAGCACTGAAGTGCAGCTTAATAAACATTAAATAGAATGGAGGTAATTGCTTGATTGGATGCACCCAGGAAGCAGCACCCAATCCTGGAGGAATAGATTAGGGCCTTACTTCAATGCAAAGAACAAAAACATCCACATTGGGGATGTAACAATACCAACAAAAAGTTAGTATAACAAGCAATAGATTACCAAATTGATATTATAGATTTAAAAGAATTAAACCAGAGATTTGTCTTTAGCATTTGATTTTGCCATAAAAAAATTCAAGGAGACAAAAATGTTGCAAACCTCACAATAGTAGCTCAGAGATAAATTGAATATAGTGATGGCAAACTCCCTTAACCTTAGAATACTCATGTTTAAATTAGTAACACCATCACTAACGTCGGGTATATTTTACACGATATAATATCACGGATAAAATACAGTTTGACAGTTGAAAAAAACATAGATGGGAGGGAAAAAAAAAACTTACCATTATGACATCAGTGAGCAGCCTGAAGCTACCCAAGGACCCATGTAACTCTGACAGCAGCAACACGATGAAAATCGCATGACACGATTTGTGTGGATGAAAATCACCTGACATCAGTGTTCTAGCATTAAACTAACTCTAAAGTAAGCTTAAAAAACACAAAAGGCATGTCTTGGGAAAAGTTCGAGACAGATTTAGGGAAATCTCACATCAGATTGATCTGTGAATTTATCTTAGCTGTATTAAAGCCCATAATCCCTGTAAATTTCTTCAGGTAAGCCATTTAACATTGACTAAATTAGATAAATAGAAACAACTACATTTCTAGAAATTGCTTTTCTGCGGAAGATCTCTTTTTTTATATATACTGTATAGCTATATGCTGTATATATACAGTATAGGTTTAGATATCTCACTGTCAGTGACAGGAATCTCTGAGTAATCCACTTCGTGGGCTTCTCCTAATCGGTTAAGAATGAAACGAGGAGCGCCTCCTGGAGTCCGAAGTTCAAACTGCAAAACGGAATCAGTAGCTGCCATAAAGCTTGTGGGATCCGTGGTTAGTGAACTCTTTTTTTAATCCCAAAGCCATTTCACACCCTTCTTTGAATAGTTCCTTGCTACGATCAATGTTGTGATCAATTGGTATAGCTATATCTATCACTGCAGCTTTCTTCCTCTGCTTGTCCACTACTTCCATTGCAAGTTTGTGTCCCTGTATTTGGAAGTCCCACAGGATCTTAGCCAAGTCATTCTTAACTACCCTAGGGGGTGTATCCCATTTTGACCTTCGGAATTCCAGGCCGAACTCAGCACAGATGTCCCTGTATGTCGGCCAATTGATAAGGACATTCCTTGCACTGTGTGCTCTGCATGCTAGCATCTTGAAGCCTGCTCTTATGCTCTTGATTATTTTGGCGGCATCTTTGCACAGCTTGCAACCGGAGTCTTGGACTTTTCAAGACTTCCCCTCCACCCCCATGTATTTGCCTGTTGGAGCTTTCCTAGCGGCATTTTCATGGTTCCCATTTGTCTGTTGGATTCCAAGGTACTTGTGTCTATCCTCAATGTCTGCTATGTTGCCCTGTGGTAGTCCTATCTCCTCAGGTCTGACTACTTTCCCTCTCTTTGTTACCTTCCGACAACACTTTTTTAGTGCAAAATATATTATAATGTCTTTGCTGTAGATCCTAGTGGTGTGGCTCAGTGAATCGCTTGATGTCATTCATTTAGAAGAGATGGCCGATGTTTGCTCCATTCCGTAGTCGTTATTCACAGCCAGGCTTTTTAATGTTCTAGCTTAGGGGTTTCAAGCATTCCGCAATTGAAGGCTTGAAGTTAGCCTGTTGTTTGGCACATTGTTATTTAATTCCTAAAAGTTCTCATGGTCCTGGTGATCTAGTACTGTTACTGTCATGTAGTCATATATATATATATATATATACATTTTTTTTATAGTATAGTTGTCTGATAGCAAGGCTTGCTCATTTTTAATACTTTGCTGGCTTTGTCACCCTGCTGTTTGGGGGCTAATGGTGAAGTTTGCTTTGAATGTGCAGCGTCTGTTCTCCCTTCAAACCTTTAACACCACAACAGATGGGAGAATATGGAGCTCAGAAAGCTTTACCTCTGAGGTGGTAACAGTGAAGCCACTCATTAACACTGAATTTACCACTTCGTTAGCAATGCAGGTTCCTGTAGAGAACAGCTAGCCCTGGTTGTCAAATTCACTGAGCATATATTTCAAACTAAATCAGTTTTCAACAGCAAAATGTAATGAAGTATAAGATGCAGCACCTTTGTTTCGATCATAATCCTATTTGACCAGTCAAAATTGATTAAATGCTTTTGAACTAAGGGTAAGAAACATTTTATCCTTAATTCATGTATTTTGTTTTTTAATGGGGGGGTAAAGTGTATGTTTTCTTTCTGAGAGTTTGTGTTTGTGTTTTATACAGATTGTGTTCCTGTCAATTTGTCAGGATTCAAGTAACAACAGTCTCATGCTGGGATCTGTGTTGGCACCATCACAGAGTGATAAGACGCAATATGATCTCATTGGAGGTGTACTTTGTTCCCATGGAAATTGGTCAATTTTAGCAGACGACTGAGAACTTTAGGTGGAGAGGCAGGGAGGTTGTATCCCAGAGGTATGCTCACATAATTAAGCATCCTCACCAGGGTATTCAGGGCTAACAGCAGGGTTTGTTGTGAATAGAGGTGTTGAAAGAGGGTGTTAAAAAATCATAATGCAGCACAGAATAATACCTTTCTTATTTTACAGAGCAGTGGGAATAGCCTCAAAAACATTTATTTAACGGTACCTCATTGTCATTGTTAAATGATGAAGAAATAAAATCAAATTATTATAATAACTGTTGTGCATTGTCATGTACTTTGTCATTTACATCTTGAATATGGCACTTAAATAAAGACCTCTATGCTTGTAAGACATTGCATTCATATAATGGATTATGTAGGTTGTACCTATGCGAAGTGAAATAATTGTGTATTATTCCTTTGCATATCAGTGTTGCTATTCTGATCTAAAGCCAAATGCACAGGAGGACAGAGACATGGAATCTGTGTCTGACAGCCCAGGTCATGCTCAAGAGCCATTAAAGAGTTGCACATTCTCCCCGAAGAACAATGCTGTAGGTCTGTCCTCAGATGAACATGAAAACCCTTTAAATGGAACCCAACCGAATCCATTTGTATACAGCAGTGTCCCTGCTGTTCCCCGTGCAGGCAATTCATTGCCTTCAGGAGCACTTGTTAATGGACCTGGTTCACACCCTTCCTCAGAGGTACACTGTGTCCTGAACAAAGGCACTGTTTTATCCAGCAGTGTCCTGGATGCCACGTGGCAAGCAGGAGAAGGACATGAGCCCTGAGGTGTTGCCACCACCCAGCGAGCTTCAATCAGATGCTCGGAAGAAAACAGCAGGGCCCGTCATGAAAACACTGGCCACACAGCCAGGTGTCAACATGCCACTGTCTCAATCGGAGACGAATGAGTCTAAACTGGCCTATTCCACCCTGTCAGGTGACAGTGTAAAGCAAATGCACATTAGACAACCTTTAACTAAACAGACAATAAAAACAAGCACTCCACAGGAAGTAGAATAGCCAAGTAGGTTTTTGGATTTTTATGATTATACTCAAGTAATCAGATGGGATTCTTCAAAAGAGGGTTTTCACAAAACAACATAAGGCTGGAGACCAAAGTGATGCACCAAGGAGACATGAAGCACAATATGTATAAAACAAGCATATCAGGCTGTCAAGACAAGGTTAACAGCAGCTACAGACATTTCTTCAGTGGTAATGGAGTTGAAAATGTTTACAAAAGCAACAGCAATTAATCTTTGGGTATACTTCCGGACATTAAATATCTAGTAGTGCCATCGAAAGACCTTTTCTAGCAACATAACTTTGGACTTTGAGCTCTGTATTTGTAGAACAAATGAGTAATGAATAAAATGACCATGAAGATGCAAACAGTTTTAGTCCAAGAGTTGATGGAGAACAACTTGAGGAAGATTTGCTTCTATTTTCTTGCACAATAGGCAAAGTTCTTTTGAAGAAAAAATACATTTCCATAGACTTATGATGTTTCATTTAGGCAAGCATAATCAGGTGAAAAGTCAAAATGTTCATGATCCTTTATATGCAGGATGTGTGGGCGTTTTGTTCTGTGATACCAACTCCCTTATGAGGCACATCATTATTCAAATTATTCAAGACAGGCAGGGAGAATTTATTGAGGAAATCAAAGATCTCAAAAACAGTGAGTCTGAAGACAGGGCCATCACAATGCTGTGCCCTCAGAGCATATTTAGCTGTAACAGCCTGAACGTTCTTGTCCAGTGGCAGAGCACACGAGAATCTGAAGCACTACTTTTTCTGTGAAGAGTATACCTATATACTCACACTAACAATGGAGTTCACCATGTTCAGTCTTAGTTCAGTCTAGCAATAACAAGAAGGGTATTGGGAAGACTTTTAGAACTTAATTACTAACAATCCCACTGTGGTGATTACAAGATATTTTATTTTCAGTCGGACAGTTTCAAACCTATTATGTTGCTGTCTACTCTGCCCTCACTGTTTAATTGAAGACTAGGGCATTCACATGGAAAAGGCCAATGAAAAAAGTAAACTTTGAGCTTACTGAAAGTAGCACTGCATGCACACGCAACATTCTTCTCGTTGCGGAGAATCGACAAACATAAAAAATCACTGCTGGAGATAGAATAAATAGGTGTGGCGACTGATCTCACCTGTGCAGAAATGTGCTGACTTTGCAGTCAGCTTTTGGAGGTTCAAGCAGGTAAACTTTTTTGCAGCTGATGATTTATTTTTGCTTTTAGCCATAAATCTTAAATTAGAACAGACGTATGATATCGGAGCAGGAGTTTACAAGTGAAAGAAGTCTGAAATTCTATATCTATGAGAAGGGCTATGTATCAATCAAAATGTTTTTATACTTGTACCGATACCTTCACCCCTATACCAGTTCCTGAACAATACTTTTTTCGATACCAATTTTAGAACATTATAGATAACAAAAAGGAAATTACATTACACATTGTAAAAATCTTGTACATAAACTACTCACTTACACATTGTACATATTATGATATTTTCCAGCTTTGGTCATTTTCCACTCCAACCAGTTTCCTAAAAATAAACAACAAATATTTCCCAGTGCAAAAGAACAATTGCAAACAATTTAGAAATCAATCTAATGTTCTGCGACAAACTGGGGACCTTATCACAGCAGTTTTCTTCAGAAAAATCTGTGCACAGTAAGGTGTTTCATTAAATTAGTCGTATTGCCAGGCTTAACAATTATTACTTTTTTGCAAATACTGTATCGTGCAGTATTGGCATCAATCTTGCTTACATGGGGCCAGGTTTTTGACCTCGGTGGCATTTTTCCACTGTTTCAATAACACACAACTGCAGTTCGCTAGCACAGCACAGATAAACATGAACCCCGTCTGTGGGCGTAGCCACAAAAAGGTCTCTGTCTGTTACCTTATAATGCTTCAGCCAATCACAGGCGGCATTTTCTGGTCTTGATCACGTGATTAACCTAAGCTACATTATTCATACAATTCCCTTATTCATACATATATCAATTTTGTATACATTTAATCTATGGCAAATATTATTTAATATTTAGGGTTGTTAACAAAATCTTAGAATAAAGAATAGGTAATACAAATTGTCCATTTCAAAATCCAGTGACAAGGAATCTGTAACGTTCCTGGCACTGGAGCTGGCTCCACCCCATCTGCACACCTGCTCAGCATCCTCACTCCATAATCACCCTCATCGCCTGCACCTGTTTCCACCTCCATATATACTCTGCTTATGCCAGCCACCGTGCCAGAACGTATTGAGCCTTAGAGTGAGTACTTCCAGCATTATATTATCCTGTCTGCCTGATCTTCGACCTGCCTTCCGTCTGCCTGTTTTCCAAGCCTGCCTGACCCCCGCCTGATCTGTCCGTTCGACTCCTGAGCCTGCCTGTCCCTCGCCTGTACCTTTGCCTGATCCTGACTGCCTGCCTGTGTATGACCCCGCCTGCTTGCGACCTCGAGACCCCGCCTGCTCCCTTGGACTGCTTCCCTGGCACTGACCCCTGGACCGGCCCCGACCGCCTTCTTGGATTATCCCTGTGTCCTTCGTTGGATTATTGGATCACCCGGTACCGAACTTGGACTGCCCTGACCACGCCTCCAGTTTATTAACAAATAAACATTGTTTCCCTGACTGACCGGCTTTTGGGTGTCTGTGGGTCCGAACACTGATCATTACAGTCAAAGGGAAATCCATTGTACAAACTCCTTGATCCAAAGGGGTAATCCAAAAATGAGGCAAAAGCTCAAAAGACCTAATATCCACAATACAATACACAACAGTACTCCGAGATCCAAAAGGTGTAATCCGAGGGCGAAGCGAAGGTCAAAACACTGGACGTCAAGAGTCAAGGTTGTAAGGCTGGGATGCTGAGGTCAATGCAAACTAGCACTGAAATACAGGAACCAGGAGACCTACAGGGAGCCGGTAATTGTCACTACCAGATTGACCTAATCAGCAACACACCCAAGGGAAGAACTGACAACTACCAAGCATAACAGCATCCCCACATTAAAGGCCATAACTGGATGGCCCAGCAATATCAGGGTGGCGCTGATGAAAATCCTCAATATGGGCAGGATCCAAGACATCCCTCGTTGGAATCCAAGAACGCTCCTCTGGACCATATCCTTCCCAGTCCACGAGATACAGACGACCGTGGCGACAAACCAACAACAGCTGCCAGACAGTATAGACAAATCCTCCATCCAGCAACCGATGAGGCGCACGGGCGAAGTGGGAGGGGCCAGAGAACTCCCAGTTAGCGGTTTGATACGACTCATGTGAAAAGTGGGGGAAGCTTCAGTCTGACGGTCACAAGATTGTTGACCTTGAAAATCGGTAAAGGTCCAACAAAGTGAGGTGCAAGTTTACAAGACCTTTTTGGAGATGCAGGTTTCGGGTGGACAGCCAGACCTGCTATCCCATCCTATAGTGAGGTGCTGGTCTGCAACGGCGGTTGCAAATCAAGGAGGTGCGGAGCCCTCTTGGACCTTGGATCAGGATATACAACAGCGTCAGACCAAAGCCTGAGTAGAAGGCACCTCAACCTCCCTCTCAAGAGCAGGAAACAAGGTTGGTTTCCATTTAATACATTAAAATAGGGACAAACCTGTGAAGGGACAGCGTAATAATTTGTGTGCATATTACTCCCAAACCGGTTGGTCACTCCAGGAGGAGGGATTTTGTTCTGCCAAAGTTAGTGATCCTGTCTCCCTCTACCCGCCGGCGCTGTCGTTTCTCAACAGACAATCAAGCTCTACCTGGTTGCATTCCAGCTGAGGGCGGGACTACCAGGCATGACATCCAGGAAATCTTTATGGTACTATGCTTTCTCATTGATTTAAATTATTATCCCAAAAACTTAATCAGTCAGTGATATATGGACCTGAACTAACTGTACTTTAATGTATTGTAATTTGAGCGTGTAGAATGCAATTGGTATTTATTTCTATTTCTCTCACTACACTTAATCATACAGTAAACGTGATATTGGCAATAATACTGCAACTAATTGTTGAATTTCATGTGTTGTATACCAGATATGGCAAGAAAGGTCCAAATTTTTGGTATTGCAGTTTCGTAACATAATTTGTTTAACGATTCCAAAGAAATGGCAACCACATAGATTGGCAATACAAGAACTTATTCTCAATGGGGTTTTTTACCCTTGCAAGCTGCAAGGGGGCATTTTTTAATTTGTTTGCTTGCAGATAACTCCAATATCCATTACATAGAATCAAACAATTTATATTTTATTACATATTTTACACTAAGCGCCAACACAGATCCTATATACAGCAGATAGTGGAGACCAGTTCACAATTATTTGATTTTTGAGGAAAATCATGACCTGGATGGAACGTCAAGGTGCTTTTGAAATTCCTGTTAAAAAATTATGAGATTCTCTTGATGTTGAGTTTGAAGCCCATCATCTCTGTGTGCACAATGTTGTTTAATGTCTGTCCAAATCACGTTTTCAGTCAGGCACTCAGAAAAATGAAGATTTCAAATAAAATAACTTGATGCTGAGCTCTGTTTTTAATTATGCTTCTTGATTATTGTGCCCCGGTGACAGCTACTGTACACTCCCAACGTTTTTTTCTTCTTCTTATTGTGTTCTTTTGAGAAATGATTTAATGGCACTTTCTATAACAACAAAAGGTCAACAATGACCTTATACTACAAATTAAATCAAAGTTCTATCTATTCCTTGTGACAGTTTCTTTCTCGTAGTTTTGCCTTATTTTGTTAGTCAGATTAAGAAGAATAACAAAAAAAAGAGAAATCAGATAACAAAAAATAAATGGTTTTTAATAATTTTTATAGTGTCTTTCTATATAATGCTACGTAACGTAACCACTAGTTCTAAGTATGTGTTTGCAGGCAGTGGTGCTCATGATTATTACAAGCTTTATATCATAGACAAATCATTTTTTCTTTTTTTTTCTTTTTTAAATGTGTGTGGTTTCTGACTACTCCCTGATTCTCATGAGGTGGTGCATTGTATGTGAAAATAGCCCCTCGGAAGATACAAGATTGTGTTAAACTTCGCCAGTAACACTTTGCAAACACGAGAGTGCAAATCATATGCTCAGAAGGAAAAATGGTAGAGAAAGACATAAGAACGCACTGGGAGTAACAGTTTTGCTTGATAATAAAATTATCACATTAACTCAGACACTGTTCAACTAAGCTCCCCCTCATATATCTCGCTTACTTTCTTGTTATCTTTGAGGCATACGTATGGCCTGAAATGAAAACCATGCAGTCAAATTTTCTAGTAAAGATAAAGCAAATTTAAAAACATAATTACCTATTTTTTCAACATTCTACATTTTAGGGCGATGTATGTCATTTTCAAACATAGAAGAAGAATAGAAGAATAGAGAAGACAATTTACTTTTCTTGAACTCAGGTTTCACAGACTTGTACTAGTCTGTCATTTTGTCATGCATGTACGGTATAATAAAGTTAACATTGAATACACTTTTCGTGTTTAGTGTGTCTTGACAATGATGACATGGTTTATTTCTAAAAGTAAAGTGTTTGTTGCGTTTTGACCAAAGCTTACTGGTGTTATTTACGTCTTACTGGTGGTTTATTTGTATAGCACATTTTGTGTACAAGACAATTCAAAGTGAAAATGTTATTTTGAATTTCTTGGTTTCGGAATATACCACTACATGCTTATATTCCAAACAAAATTCTGGGAACCACCTTACCCGTGAAGGAATGTTCAAGTCTGGGTGGAACACACTCAGGTATCTGTAGTAGCACATTGTGATCCTGTACTTATAAACTATAAGCAAACTAGGGATAAAT